GCCTGTCAAAGATGCAGGAGGCCCTTATTTTGCCATATTATGCTGGATATTGCTGGAAACTTATCATAACTTATTACTCTGCTCTGCAAATAAGGGTAAATCTGGCTTCTGTTAGATCATCCTAACGTCTGTGAGGGTGGGGATTAAGAGCTGTGGATCAAATCTGGAGTTTAGTTCAGCTGTGGTTTAGTTTTGATTCTTAGGCAGAAATGTATTGAATGCACACTGTGTTTAAGGTTTAGCGAGTACTCCTTCATTTAACTTGTCATCCCACTAAATAGCATGTGATCGTCACATTTAGTTGTATTCTTAAATGTATTGATATTTATTGACACTGTCATGGAACCAGCAGTTGAAAATTAGTTCAAATGATGAGAAAAATCAGCTAATTGGTTAGCAGACATCAGCCATCAGAGTTTAGTGCTATGAGTCAAAGATGTTATCACAATATTTTCTTCCAAGTCTTTGCTTTCGTCTGGTAACATTGAAACCAATGTTACCAAAAAACATGGTAACATAAAAATAAAAAAAACTTTACATGCGATCCATGGAAAGCTTGTTCTAGATCAGAGATCCTCCACCTGTACTAACCAAGGAACCGCCTATCAAATTCAGTTTGTTTAGAGCCGCAAAACCTGTACAATTCCTTTCACTAACTACCTGCTATATGAAAATACTTTGTAATTTAATTTAAGCAGCATTTGGTGTTTTAGGGCAAAGAATAATCTCTAACTTTTACCTAAAATTGAGAATGAAAACACTTTCTTCATAGAAGATTTTAGAAAACATTATAATTTACAGTCTAATTAGTATAATTTGTTTAAAAATTCTGTGCAAATGCTACTGAAATCAGACTTTTAAAATGACCTTCATCTTTTTAACACTGCTACTGTCCTGTCCTTTCTGTCCAAACTCATTAAGAGTCACTGTGGACGTCCTAAAGAGCCTAATTCTCCTCTCTGAGTTTGCAGAGTAACAGAGAGGCTTTTTGTAGCAGGTTATCACAGCTCAGCCCAGGTTCGTCCTGGGGCACAAAAACAGTCAGACCCCACTATAGCCGGCTCTTCCTCCTCACCGTGTCTCTGTGTGGATAATGGAAACATTGTAAAGCAGTTGGTCAAGGTGAACACCTCATCAAATATCGCCTTACTTCTCCTATCCGCAGCACTTAGTTTAATTAAATTGTACATTTTCTTTTCTTTATCTCTTTAGAGTCATGATGTACTCTGTTATAAATATGTACTGACTTTTAGGGAAAATAAAAAAAACATTATTTATTTTACATAAGCTTTCGATATACCAAAGCTTCCATAAATGATTCTCTCTGGTTTTTCAGAAGTAGTGTTGAATGCAGCCCCATCAGCGCTAAATACAGTTTCAATTAACTGGTCTTACTGGTAGAAACTGCTCTGCGATTACCAAGAAACGGCTCTTTAGGTTCCCAGAAGAGCAAGTCGGGGCAGGACCATCTGTGCTCTTTTTTCCCTTGAATATCCAGTTATATACAAACTGCATGTGAATATATGAGCAACGTTCTGACGTGCAATTACAGCTTCAGAATAAGAAGTTATTAGCTCCACTTTATTTTTTTTAGCTTTTTGGGTTTTCGCATTAATTGCACAATTTTTGTCTTAAAGTGTCAATCTGTCATTTTGGCATAATGCTAAGTTATTCATAGAGCACCACAAATATTGCCAGCTGTTATTGTGCTGCATGTGGTTATTGTTTGTAGACTGGGAGGTTTCTGGAATGCGTCACCACATCACATGTTTACAGTCACATGAGAACATGAAGTTAGGCGTGGCTGACTCAGATCTTCCTCGTCACACTCCAGGTAGATTTCATGGCGCATTGAGGGGCATGTCGGTGCGGTAAATGTGCTTCTGAGTGGATGTGTTTGTCACTGCTTGCCTAAAATACAAGGAACTTGTAACTTCCTTCTTTACACTGCAGAGTCTCAGTTTCCCCAAAGGCAGAACACCATCTGTGTTTCTATAGAGACTCCATCTTGAATATATTACCACCGCCTGCATAAACAGATTCAGAAAACGCCCCGGGTTTGCAGGTGAAAAATAAATTGGGCGAACAAAATTCACTGAAGTATTTACAAAATTGTTGAACTAGAGGAAGTGCTCCTTGTTCCTGTGAAGATCACCTTCATTCTGTTTATGCTGATGTTTACATTGCCAGTTTCTGGAAGGCAAATGTTTTGTTAGAATGTATGCAGGACCCCAGGTGGTAGTTTTATTTGCACACAAACATGCTAAAAAGAGTATTTTGTCATTAAATAATGCAAAATTAAGGGAATAACCCACAGCATACCACTCTTTTATCTTCCCACATTCTCAGTTCCTCTACCTGCTTACTTTAATTTTCAATGGAAAGTTAAATTAACATCTACGTCATTCATTGGCTACATTTACGCAATAGCAGTGCCTCCGAGCGGTTTCTCTCCCTAGAAAATGAAAAAAAATTATTAAACATCAGCGTTCTGAGTCATAACTGTCTTAACCACTTAATGTTCAGCAGAACATGTCTTCACCTCAAACTAACGTTGAAACAAGCAGCACATCCTGTTTCTGTCACCAATGGAGGACTTGAAAGTTATGGGACTTTATTGTTTTTGTTAATCAGAAATGGTCCCTGAACTCCTTTCAGACTGATGTGACATTTACTGTCTTGTAATGTAGATTTATGGGAGATTCTGCAGATTGATTGTAATATATATATTTCCTCCAACCCACTGAACAAATTAAACATTTACATTTGTGGTGTAGCATTAAATCTCACTTTAAAAGTTTTTGAAGCAAACTTTCAACTTTTAGAAAGACGTCTGCTGCTCTGATTCAGTTTGGAAATATTTCCAGTTGTAAAACACATAGAGAGTGTCATCCTCTCACTGCTGTGAGGCTAATAACTTTACAAACATCTAACTACAAGCTTTAAACTGGCAGCACCTCTGTTAAGCAACCAAATGCATCTTCCTCAATTAATGGCTTAATAAAGACATAAGCCATTATTTCAGGAAAATGACGCCATGTCACATTATTTAAGCCGGAGTAAGAATAATTGTTGCTTTTCTGGTTTAAAGAAAGACAATAGACTATTTTTTTTTTTAAAAAGTGTGAACACTTTAATCCTTTTTTTATTTTAAAGTATTTCAACTTTAAAACTTTTTAAATTTTAACTATTGTAAACTGAGGTCATTTTAATCAACACTGCAGTGCAGTAGGCTAAGCCTCATAAACTTTTATAGAGCGTATAAAAGTTGTGTAATGTTGGGTTACTTAGGTGTGAAAATGCTAGACTTTCATGCCTGAGTTTCAAAACAGCAACTTAGACAGTTAAATTAAATTTACTTTTAATATGATTCATATTGTTCAAAAATTAAACTTAATATAATACCAAATAGATCATAAAAACCCAGGTTTCCACTGGGTCCATATTTTACAGTACTACTTGAAAATTGTTGATACAACATTGCCCAGCTGTTTACTAGCTTTGTTTTTTTCAGTGTCGCTCCATACCCCTCGCTTAATGAAAGAAAAACCCACAATGGTCACAGAAAGAACTTGAATCTGATAAAGGTAATGATGAATAAAAATTCCATGAAAATGAACAAATGAAATTCAGGCATTGCTTTTCAAACACGCTTCAACAGAATTACTTTAAAAAATAAACCATTGTGGGCTTTTCTTTGATCAACTGAGGGGTACCAACAATTTTGTCCGTGTGTATCAATGGTGAATGTCTTTTGTGCTTTCTTCCAAATATCATCTGCCACAGAAAGCTGGCAAAAGCCCATTTCTTTCAGTGGCAGGGTGGTTGATATGCAAATTATCAGGAAATGAATAAACCCATTAGGGGCCAGTTTTTCCTGTTGTACCTGCTGATAAATGTAAATATATTTTTCTTATCCTTTGCCAGTGAAAGTACACCTTTCTGGCTCTGCTTGTGAGTCTCTGAAGGTTTTATTAAATAAAACGTCCCCAATGTCTACTTGGTTCTTATTGATTGTAAGCTACTTTGTATTGTCAATATATATTGTAGCTAATGTCCATATTTGGGCTCCTGTCTTATCATGTGGCTGCCACATCACAATCACTATCAAGTTTGGAAAGTGGGTTATGACTGTCCTTGCTTCCGCCAGTGAGTCATGTCCTTATCCTGGCTGTGTCTCCTACTATTAAACATTACCTGGACGCTGATTTGGAAGCAGAGTAATGGCCTAAAATAAGTCGGCCACTGCCCACAATAGACTGCCATTAATAAATTGGACTGTCAACATCTATGAAGAAGAAATAAGACCAGCATAGACCGTTACATGAGGTGTCATGTAACCAGTGTCATACCACTTTAATGTCGCAATGATCACGCTTCTTTCATCCCTCTGTCTTCTGTTTTCCAAACGGTCATACCTAATTCCTGCATAGGGTGTTTGACTACGTTTGTGTGTGTGTGTGTTGTGTATATTTTCCAGCTTGAGCCTCGCTTGAATGCAGAATTACACTGGCATTCATTCTGTTTGATTTCCTGTAATTCTATAGCAGCGGGTAAAACTATTTGCGGGGGGCACAGAGCGGCAGAAACATTAGTGGCATAGCAGCAGCAGGACTCTCAAGTTAGCGGCCAGAGCTTCAGTCTAGGATTCAGCGTGGAGTACTGCCATGGTTTTGTTTGGCTGCCTTTTTCATTTTTAAGTTTTAGTTTAGCATTGCTTTCTGCGTAGGGCAGAGGCTCCTTGAAGAGGATCGATTTGGCTTCAAGGGTCGCCTCTTTGGGTCATCTCTTCAAACCGAACCAATGGCCTGCTAAAAGCTGAGATCAGCCTGCAGAGGAATGTAGCTTGTCACTGGAGCTATTTTGGCAATGCACAGCCACTAATGATTGAGATCACAGAGCAGAGTGCGGAACAGTTGCTTTCTTCCACTTTTTTTTCCTACCAGCAAGTTTGATCATGCACCTCTCACCAGCGCTGCAGGGATTAGAGAGTTAAACAAATGGCACGTCAGCTCCGCTTGCATTTCGCGTCAAGACGAAGTAACACGGACCCCCTCTCTGAAAGCCTCAGCTGCCATGGTGAGGAGAGCGGAGTCGGTGTGTCAGCGCACGGCCCCGCAGAGAATCTGGCGCACAGCTCAGTCCACTTGAAGGTGACTCCTCTGTCACCAGAGTTTGCCAGCAGTCAGAGCTCTTCAGTCTTCATACCCAGGGTTAACTCCGGAGGCAGCAACAAGAAGAGCATTCTGCAAATCTCGCTGCAGCCGTGCGGAAAACCAAGCGGCGAGTTGGAAGGGAGCGCGGAGGATGGAGAGGCCGGCGTTTGTGTCGGTTCTGACGGGGGATCGTGCAACAGCAGCATGGCCAGCGACGCCGGGTACTGCAGCAGCAACAGCATCTTTGAGCCGGAGCTTCCAGAAAAGCACAGGAGCAGCCAGGAGAGGCCCCAGGTCTGCCGCAGGTCCAAGGTCCCGCTGCGGCGGTGCTCCTCCCTGGTCATTATTCCAAGGAGCCCTTGCAGCACGCCGCCTGCGTCTCCCGTAGGATCTGTGGCTCTGTTTGCTCTGCCCCCGTTACGGGGATCTAACCAGCCGTTTCTCCAGGCACCTACCAGTGAATTCCTCCAAGCAGACGAAGAAGTGACGAGTAAAGAGCCCAACATCGCTTCTCTAAGTGGCCAAAATCAGCCAAAAGGAAACTACTCATCCGAGCTTAGGGACTCAAAACACACGGTGCACTTTAACATCCCGCTAGAGGATGAACCAAAATGCAAACTGGAGGACAAGACTGCAGGTATGGAGCAGTCCTCTAATCTTCACTCTAGCAGCGTGATGCTACGCTTTCCCCACCAGAGACCAATGGCATCGGCTAAACGAGCCGCATCTGTGGCTTCGGGCAGTTCACATCTCCCCAATGCTCATTACCCGGCTGGACTCTCTGAAAGACAAGGCGAAGCCCACAAAAAACTTTATCGGAGTACCTCTGCTTGCTTGTTTTCCTCATCTAAGCAACCTGAGAAAAACAGTAGAGTCTGTTCATCAGGGAAGGGTCAAGGGAAACACTGTCATCGTGCCATTCAGAGGAGCTTTTCCCTGGAGGTGCCTTACGCTAACACCGGGATTTCATGTCACGTTTCAAACCCAAAGCTCAGCAGCCCTCTTTCCCCACATGTACACATTCATTTGTCTCCTTGCTGCCCTGCAAAGGTTCTCGCTTACCCCAACAACTTCAAAAAGAGCCACAAAGGAAACAGGGAGGTGAGTGTTTAGATTCGCTGATGTTTCCTGACTGTAGAAAAACTCATGAAAGTTGTTTTTTTTTAGAGGCATTCTCATAATGGCCCTTTGACAGAGCTCTGTGGATGTGATGACAATGTTGTTAAACTGGTCCAAGCGGATTCCACACGGTTTTGGTCTGACTTGTCACAATGCCTTCCTGACTGCTGCTTTTACATACAGAACCGAAAAACAACACCAGGCTTTTATGAATAGAAACAACAAATGCAGATATATTATTCAAGTGTTAATTTTTTTTACTTTCTCGTTCTGGAGTCTGTGAAACTCAGTGTTACCCTTTATGCTGCTTTTAAGAGTAACTGAGAGCGTCTCTAACTCCAAGTCATGTATTTAACAAGCTCAGTGTGGACAAACATTCGCAGGTGTTCAGTTACATTACAGTAAATCCGTCAGGACATTAGTTTCCAAGAACCGCTGAAATAAGAGAGACCAGCTCCCCTCCGTCTTGGAGGTCTCTTTCACGTCTGTTCAAACTCAACTGCAGAATAATATTCCTTTTTCTCCTCATTAATCTGATAACCCTATGAGCGATCAACGTATTTACCGTGGTTATTTTAAGTGTCGGGGAAACGCGGTGCCCCCTTTGCTGATATAAATAAGGCGGCTCTGAAATATCCCCCCCGACTCCAGATAGTCTGGTGGTTGAAGCACGGCCGGCTCCTCTGGATTCAAATTTAACAGCATGATACGAGAGCAGCCATGCCAGCCAGCCATCTGTGGACACGTGTGTGTGCGTGCGTGTGTGTGTGGGGGCAAAGACTGTTGGCCTTTCCCAGTAAACGATCGGATGGTGTGTTAGCTTCCCTGTGGGTCCCCCCCCACCTCCCACTAACCAGTGTTTGTGAAATATCAGGTGTCGGTCTCCCCCTACATTTAGCAAGCTGTCAAGAAAGAAGGCCTACCTGAGTAATTTGTCTTTTCCTGAAACGTTTTTTGGACTTGCATACTGAATACTGTCTCATTATTACCTCTGATGACTATTAAGGTGACAGTTTGACTTGGTTGGTTAGCAGCACATCACTCCTACCTTTTGTTAAACATCAGTTTGTATTTTGTACGCCTTTACCTGTTCTGAAGATTAAATCACAATTTCTTTAGGTTTATTTTTAGGTATTACTCTTTTGAGAGTTACTCTACGTCAGTGTCTCTATTAAATCATATATTTTCTCCAGTCATGAACAGCCAAAAACCACTAAAATGTTCCATCACACCATTCTTGTATTTTCAAATCAGTTGAATAAGATTCCAAAGAAAGAGCTGGAGAGTTGGTAGATTTCTCTGGTTTAAAGGTAATGAAAGTAATGCTGCGCACTGCAGATCAGCTATCTGAAAGGAGCCTTGTCTCTTTTCCCATTAAAAGAAATGCAAATGGTAAATATTTTCAGACACAAAATCTATAATGCAGCCAATTGCAGACTTGCTGCATAATTACTAATTAACCAGATAAAATAAACTTTTTATACTCTGAGTGTGGAATAAAAATTAGTGCTGCCCTGCCTTGTTGCTGCGCACTGTTTGATATTTTCCTTTCCGTAAGATAAAATAGACTCTCATGAAGATATTAATCAACCTAAGTCAACTTGTTTTTAGAGAAAGCTACTGTCTGAAATGTTTTCTTCAATCTGTGTATCACAGTTATAATAAATGACTAACAGTGCATCACAACTGTAATAATTAGTGTTTGTGTGTTTAGGCTGCAGTATTAATAGTAGTTGGTTTTCTATTTTAAATAGAATCTGTTACTTAATGTTGTAGGTTTTAATTTTTACTCTGGATAATCATGCCATGGTTATAGTGACATCTAACAAATACACAAGAGACAAGAAAAGGGAACAAGAAGTATTTTAAGCTTCAGTTCTCCAATTACAAAATGTCTAAATTAGCTCTTAGTTAAACATTTCTACTTTTTAATATAATAATTCATAGAATAATTATTGTATAACATAGTGTTCATGCAAAAAAGTGGTAAAATAGTCACTTTGTTGCAGAGTGAGAGCACCGTTTAGAAAAACATCAAATTCAAATACTTTCCCCTTCAGGTTGCTGTTAAACTCGCTTGCAGCGATGCAACTAGCTGTGAGATTTAAATAAACCTTCAGCTTTGCTCCTCTTATCTGTTTTGCCTTCATAACTACATGTGCTCCCTTGCAAAGTTAATGAACAACCAGATGTGGCTGTGTTACACAACTGAGGTGGAAAACATGACTCAGATCCCATTTCTGCTGCGTATTTTGGACGAATCTTTGTCATAATTTTGAAAACCATCTTTAAGCAATTATAGATCAGTTTACATTGTCTAATCGGCTCTAATCTCATCCTACAAATGAATAATCTCGAGGAATTTAGCTTGTATGGCACTTGGACAGTGGATTTACTGAGGACCTTTTTAGGAGGATATGGTTTTGTTACGTCATTTGGTACAAATTCCTGCAGGAATGTTCTCTAAAGACGTCACACCCCTATTAGGAAAAATGCCCTCCTCAACTCCAACATATTATTTTCCAGCCACCATTCTGGAAAAATGTGACCTTTCCTTCCTATTGGACTTGAACTAATTATGTTTATACTACACATTTTCCATGAAAAAATTAAGGCAGAAGTCAAATGAACAAGTGGATCTCAAACCGTGACACACTTCGGACCATCGCCACACAGTTTAGTTTGGCCGCTCTCATAGCATTTAACTGGGCAGCTCTTTCTCCCACCTGTCAAAGCAGTTTGTCATGGCACATGTAAGACGTATTTCTGAGGATGCAGGTTGCCTCCAGCTTATACGGTTTCTGATCTGGTCCTAATGTCAGCCCGTAAACTGAGCAGCATTTGGTGTCACCTGAATCTTCAGGGATGCCCTGAATGGAAATTTATCTGTCATTATAATTTTAATTTAAGCGCTTGGTATGCATCCAGAGCTTCTGTGTTGTTGTTTTTAAATCTGCTTCACCAGGGAGGCTTCCAAGAAAAGGATATGAAGAGTTAAATGATGGGTAGCAGATGGTAAACACTGTTGCTAGTGACATTGTACTGAATTAGCCAGCAAAGTATTTAGTCCCAGCATGTGTGGCAGATTTGAATGTGCTGACGTCTTTTTTTTTTTTTATTATTTATTAAAAAATATGAGTTAGCCTGTCACAATAATCAATTGATCACATGATAAATTAAAACAAACTTAATTATTTCCATTGGTATGTTTTATCATTTATCTCTTTCTACCAAAAACTGGATGATAAAAGTCTTCAGTTTGGTGCGTTGGTCTCAACTAGCCCTTATTTTGATTACGAAGACTTCAAAATTAATTTTATTTGTTGTTTTGTTTATTTTGAATATTTAAAATGTCTTCCAGTTCCAGTGTTAAATGTTCATTAGTTTAAAGTTTACTGATCTTTTAGAATTTGCTCCTCCATTATTATTTTGCCATTATTTAAAAATGATCTCAAAACAACAATATTATCGTTTATCACAATAACCTCTGGAACATTTTATCGTCTAGCAAACTTTGTTATTGTGACAGGCCTATATGTGAGACGGTATTATATGTACAAAACAATTAGGACAAAATGTCAGATTATTTATAAAGCATTTTAAAAATGGCTATTAACTACACCGTGTTGTACAGTATCCTTAAAATTACATACTTAAAATGAAATGGTACAAAACAAATACATTCTTCTAATTTAATTTTGTTTGTGTTTTCCAAGAATAACCATGCCAATGATTAATGTAGAGATAGATAAAATAAAATACATGAAACAAAGGATAGATAAAATGCCATAAAAAAATCAATAAAGCAATAAAGTAGAGTAAATAATCTATCTAAAATCTGAAAATGGAAAGCATTCGATGTGTAAAAATTAAAGCAAAAGCAAGGCCGTGGCTTTAATCGGGCCATAAGAGCAGCTTCATTGCTCACTGGTTTTTTTCCAGTCTGTCCATCTTTACTGGAAGGAAAAAAAAGCCACTTCCTCAAAAGCTGCTGCTTTATTGATTGAGTTAAGGTGAGGCTCAGTCAGGTTTATAAACTCTGCTCACAGATTACTGCAGTCGTTCTGCGTAATCTGATTTCATTTTATATGTGTTTGAGATTTGTTTTGAGAACATTTCCACCAAATTACACAGAAAAACCTGCTCATTTTTAGTTTATTAGTATAAAATGAACATATAAACAAGTTAAGCAACAGAGTTCCTATGTTTAGAGAAACACAGGCTTTATAATTCATCTTGGGTTCAGGCGATCACCCAGTCAGGACCTTTTTAAGTAGAAGGGTGTGTGAAAGATGTTATTTCTCAAATTGTATAAAATCATAGCTATTTATATATTTAAGTATCCATTAAGTTACCACTTCCTGCCTTCTTGGAAGATGCGTCCACTTCTCAGTATGGAAGCTCATGTTTTAGACCGGACATCCACTATGCTGCTGCTAATTCTCAGGTCAGGACCTTCAGATCCAAAACAGAGTTTCAGACATTTTTGGACAACCACAATGTCCTAAAAATTGACATTTTTAACGTTAGAAACATTAAAAATGTCACTGACTCACCTGTCCATCCTGTAAGATGCTGTAAGTTATGAGGCGTTTATTGACAAGAAAAATATGCAAGTGGTTTCTGCTCCAGGATTCAACGAATGAATGAATTTAAACTGCATGAGGAACAGATTGAGCTCTCTAATACTAGAGTGTAGCGCTTTTCTCTTGGTAAAGCGTTACACAGGCAATTTATCATTTAGCGTACACTGATCCAGTTTCACTGCAAAAACAAAATCTTACCAAGTATATTTGGTCTAGTTTCTGGTGCATATAACTTACTACATTTAAAATAAGACAAAACTAAGTTCTAAGTAATTTTTTATTTTAATAATTCCTGAATATTGTTAAAAAGTACTAGCTTCACTGGCAGATTTTTCACTTAAAATAGGGGGAAATGTCTTGATACAAGTGGGGAAAAAAATCTGCCAGTGCAAAAAGTATTGATATTAAGGAACTGACTTAAAACAAACTCCTGCTGAAAAGTTACTCATAAGTTAGTTTTGTTTTTTTCAAGTGTAATATTTCCAATAAAAACAAGACAAAAATACTTGATTTTGTCCTTTTGTTGTGTTCGTGGTGGTTCTTTTCCATTTCAGTAAAATAAGAGCGCAAAACAACTAAAGCTGCAAAACAAAGAAAATGACCTGCTTCCTGTTTTTCAGATTTAAGATCTGCTTGTTAAAACCCAAACAATTGTTGATTTATGCAATGAAATCTATATATTTTATACAGGCAGCACACTAATCCAGAACAAATTCAGCCCATTTAAAAATAATGTTTGTGTGTGATTGTATTTCAGGAAGCGCTTGGTTTCCGTCAATCCTTGTAAACGTAAACATTATGTTCCATATGCTGCTTCAGCCACTGTAAATACTATAAACAACACAATCTAGTAAATTGCAGGGTGTGCCTGAAGAGAGCTGGATTTGAATGACTGGAAATAAACCCGGTCCGAATGGCACGACTCTCAGTCCTGATTAAGCTCTTGAATATTCGTCATTCAATATCCAGTGCGTTAGCGTGCAACTACCGGTTGGAAACGGAAAGTTTCCTGAAAGAAAGGTCACAGTTGTTGAAATGCAATAAACCACACTCCCCTGTAATAAGACGTGCAGCATAAAACTTCAGATAAATGTCTTGTAAGAGATGAGCAAATGCAGTGATGACTAATATGATGCTATACGGCTTTCGTACGAGAGCTTGAAATACTTGAAAATGTTTGAATGACCATTTTGGAAAGCGCTTGATATTCAAACTGCACAGTTTTGTAATGAAGTACAATCCACTTTATTTTGGAAACATTATTTACATTTGAAACCAGATATTGTCGTACACCTCATGAAAAGACACATTTTTTATTATTATTGCCTGGAGTTGAATTAAACTAAGCTTTTTATTGTCAGTTAGAATCACCAAAATTATTTCTATTTTCTAAATGCTAGAAAACTTAGGAGAATTTTTATTTATTTTGCATGTTGTGTTTTTAGCATTCATTTGAACAGGAAGGTCATTTATCTTAACACGATTTGTTTGGCTTGTTTCATTGTCAGTAACGTTTTGATCTGTGTAATTGAAATGAAGGTTGGCTTATATTTTATACGCCAAACAAAGTTACTGAAATTAGATTATTTTTAGTGTTTTGTTCTCAGACCAGTCAGGTGTGAGAGAAAGACATTTCAAAACACAACATTGTTTTAGTTTCCTTTCTCTCTGCTGTAGAATGTAGAATATTATCAAAAGACATTATTACCATTATTATATTATATACTAGTGAGTTGGAACTGTCTTTTTTTTTAATTCATTTTGAAAAACGTTCATATGAAAGAGTTTGAAAGCTTCCCTTGATGATGCCTGAAAAGTGTTTGAACCCTGATAATGAGACTAAAACAATGTAGTTTTAAAGTCACTTCCTGAGTTTTCGGTAAGATGAACGGGAGCGTCTTCCTCTTCACCTGTTTCTCTCTGTTGGTAATTAAAGGCAGGACGAACCAGGTGTGTCTATTTATGTAAACACCTGTGTGACCTGTCGGGAGGGTTGATTCGGACACGAGGCGGACCCCCGCTGTGCATTGTGCTCCCCTACCAGGCTGCGGGACCGCCAGGCGGTAAACATATCCCGCGTTTAGAGCGGTGACACGGCATCTGGCTTATGCTGCAGTATTTGATCCTGGGCTCTCTTGTAATAACACGGAGCAGTTATTTATTGGGAGCCGATAAACACATTCCTGCTAGATGAAGTGGAGATATATACAGAAATGCATTGGTTGTTCAATAATGAACGATGTTGTGTTTGAGCTACTTCTCTGTTTACTGTAACATGAGACGGCTGCTGAGAGGGAGAAGGATGTTTAGGAAAGTGGCAGAAATCTTTCCAATCAATTGCTGCCTGCCAACTCCATGTATTTGACTGATGTACTTCGAAGTGGTTTCAGCGGGAAGATTTGGAGGACAGTCTCGTTGATGTTTGTTTTGGGGATGAATCTCATGTGTCCCCTTGTCTCTCCTTTTCAGACACGTGATGACTTTCTTGGACAGGTGGATGTTCCTTTAAATCAGATACCGGTGAGTCCTTGTCTTTAACGAGGTGTAACAACCCCTGTGGCTGGTTTTGTTTCACTTACCCTCCAGATCATAATTGTAAAACCAAGTGAGCAGCATTCACATTCTTCACTGCCAAGTTTTAAGAAAATGCAGCAGGAGCAGAAGACAAAACATAGACTGGAGAAATTACTGAAGACAAGATTTAGACTCAGACAGGCTGATCTAAGTTACAGATTTTAATCACAGAAACTCCAAAACTGAACTAAAATGGTAAAAAAAAGAGGATTTTTTTGAGTAGCCCCGCTGTTATGATTTCACTGCAAGCCTCAAAATCTTATGAAGTATTTTTAATCCAAATATCTTAGTACACTTGAAATAAAAAAATAACTTTCAAGTAACTTTCCAGGAAGAAATATGAGCTTGTTTTAAGTTAAAAGTTTCTTAATGCCTTCAAAAGTACTAGTTCAGATTTATACATAGATTTTAACATTTTCAATAATATGAAAATATAATTTTTGATCAATTTACTAATTTTATCTCATGTTTATTCCTTTTGTATTTTGAAGCTCTGGTAGCTTCTTACTGGGTGTTACATTGTTTTTGAGGAATTGTTTTCTCAGTGTTTTTCTTTTTGTTAATTTCATTTGTAAATTATGGCTTCTGCTTGTTCAAATTGATTTTGTAAGAACATCCCCTGGAAGGCGAGCAGCACTTCAGTAACAGTGCAGCCAGGAACATGATGTACGTGTAAAGGATGTGTAATAAATATTATTCACAGAAAAAACAAAATAACTTAAAGTGACTCATAAAACTGCAGAATAAACCACCAGGACAGGGACACCAAGTGTTCACATATCCTTACTCTTCCTGTTTCTTTGGATATTTATTTTTTTAAAGATATGTTTTAACTCTCTCTCAGTCTCACCTGTGTCTCCATGTAAACATAAACGTGTGCCCTTATTCGGCTGTCAGTTCCACTTCGTTTTCTTCAGTTTTGAAAACACGGCCCGCTGTGTTTATGCTGCGTTTCTGCTTATGTTTAATTGTAAATACAAATTAGCCGTCATTATCCGACGCCACCATCATTCCACGTTGCCATGTCTTTAAAAATAATGGTGTTTTAATGCCACGTTAAGCAGCGGGTTAAAGCTTTGCGCTTTATTTTTGTTGCTTTTGTTTCCTTTAGACAGAAAATCCTAACACACAAAGACCATACACATTCAAGGATTTTCTGCTCCACCCACGAAGGTTTGCATTTCATCACACTTTCATTTTGCTTTTGAGCATTTCCCCGTTGACCTTTCTTGGCTTCATCTAAACACGTTTTCTGTTTTTTTTTGTTTTTCTTCCCTGGTCAGCCATAAGTCCAGGGTCAAAGGTCATCTGCGTCTCAAAATGACCTACCTGCCGAAGAACCTGGGCTCAGAAGAGGAGACGGCAGATCAGACAGAGGACTCGGATGTAAGCTAGTGCTTCGTTTAGTTTTTCTCTGCAGAGATGCTTCATCTGATTAAATCATCACAAACAGATTAAACTTGAGAGCATCACAGCCCACTCTTAGAGCGTTATTCTCAATATTTAATTTATTTTTTCCTTTTGTTTTTAGCTCAATTTTAGTTTTATTTTGAGTGTTGATTGTGGGTGACCAGTGTTTGTGTATGTTTTCATATGTGCAAAACTCAATAAATAGATATTTAAAAAAAAATAAAAGGTAGTGCCCAAGAGGAGATGCACATTTTGCAGATTTTTATTCGTAAAAGAAAAAAAAAACTTAAACCAGGAATAATTTTCCAGCCTCTTGACTAACATGACGTAGAAATAAAAACTGTTGGTTTCCACATCTGTACTGAGTGATTTAAATGTTTTCCTCCTGTGCAGTCGGGCTGGGAGCTTCTGGACCAGGACATGTCGGGCCCCAGGCAGAGCCAGATGCTGCCTCCTCTTCCTCCTGGCTGGGAGGAGCGACAGGACAACCTCGGCAGGATCTACTTCGTCAACCACGTGACCAGAACCACGCAGTGGCACCGGCCCACCATGCAGTAGGATGTCCTCCGCGCCTCCATGAGTGACATCATTTCCTCAGATTCATTCCCCGGTGGATGGGAGCCAACATGTGTTTGTGTGTCTGTTGAACAAAGGCAGAGCAACGGGGAGAGCCAGCGGCCGCAGAACAGCAACACGGATGTGGAACCTGCCTTCATCACACGCAGACAGATCTCAGAGCACGACGAGAGCGCCACGCCGCAGGAGTCTCCAGAGGTAACGCCGTTCTGCTTCCTGTCCAGGCCCACAGTGATGTGTCCTAAAGAAACTCTTTAACTGATCCTCAGTTTTTATTCTGCAAAAGCTTTTATTGCTTTTTGACAGAACCGAAAACTCAGAGAATTAGAGCTACAGCGGTAATGAAGAGGAGACTTTAACTAGACCCCATCCTCTGGGTCATTTCCAATAAAGTTATAGGGATAAACATAATAATAACACTATTATTATGTGTTACCAATAAAATTACCAATAATGTTGGTAATTTACCAATAATGTTGGTAATAATTACCAATGATGTTGGTAATTTACCAATAATGTTGGTAATTTTATCAAAATACCAACATGAAAAATGACACAAAAAAATAAATGTTGAGCATCTTTGAAGTTATACTTTATCAGTTTTACAGATAATAAAATAATTTATATTTTAACACATCGGCATCAAATTATTATCAGTGTCAGGACTTTGAAGCGATTGCGCCAACAACTGAGTCTGTTTAGAAGAAAACCACAAAGACAGAGGTGGTTATGCTGATATCTAGAAGCTTTTCTTCTCACGAAAACAATTTTTTTCTCTTAATTTTAAGACATTCTGGCAAAATTGCATCTTTATTCTTCTAGTATTATGACTATAATATCGTAATTAAACAAAAGTTCTCATAGCCAGACCCTAGTACTCCAACCTAAAACTCACAGAATGGATGACTGAAATAAAAGCCACTTTTTGAAAATATTCCCCATCAGTTGCAATTTCTATTTTAGAAAAGAAAGATCTACATCGGATCTGATATGACAAAGATTTTATTTTTAAGCCATGCTGCCCCGCCCTGTTGCTGATCCATCAAGCTACATGACGGAGTTTAATTCACTCTGCCAACATATAACGTTCTGTAATGAAAATGTTTGTTTCTCAGCACATTTATCGCATTACTTCAACTCACAATCATGCAAGTTAAGAAAAATTAACAGATATCAGCGACTCTGCCTTGCTGCTGAGGTAGTAATAAATAAATAAGCATATATTTAATATTATTTAAGAGCTTTTAACCAAATAACAGGAGTCTTTTTGTTTTTGTCTTCTAGCATCTGAATGTATTTTACCCTTAGGTCTCAATTGTTTTTGGATGATTTAATGAAAGTTTTAACTCTGGGTGTGGTTAGCTCCACCTTAACGAAACCGATGACTTTCAGCTCATAGTAAGCCTTTAATCGTGACACATGGAACAACCCTTTGGTCTAATGCTTAAAAATAACACAAAGGCTCTTCCTTATGCAACACTTTTCATATCTGCTTATGACACTTGATTGAATTTATTTCCAGAAGTCACACATTCTCTCATGAAAACTTAAACTTTATTTCTTATGATGCCAAGAAAGTTCAGAGCTCAAACAGGGTTTTTTTGTTTTCAGATCTTGTGACACTAATGGCCTTTTGGTCAGTAGCTCAGTTAGCAGCACGGTTGTCTTGCAGCAAGAAGGTTTTTGGTTTGAATCCTTTCTGCGTGGCGTTTGCATGTTTTCCCTGTGCTTATGTGGGTTTTTTCTGGGTACTCTGCTTCCTCCCAAAGTCCAAAAACAGTCCAACAAAGTCTGTCCTGTCTGACTTTGTGTGTCGAAGCACTGAATTTAAAATCTCTTCGTTGCTCTGCTTAAAGGTTTTGAACCGAATACACTCTGCAGACAACGTCCTGAAACCACGAGGCTTTCAGAAACTTTAAATCAGGAAACACTACAGTTTCAAAATACAAGAACGTTTTATGAGTTTATCTGCATTTTATCAGTGTTGCTTCTTATCTAAATTATATTTGTCTTACTCTTTTTTGTTTTTAAAGTATTTTTTCTTGTATTCCTTTATTTCTTGCTAAGCACTACTTTGTTTTGCTTCTTAACCTCACAGTTTCTGTCTCTTTACGCTCCAGAGCTGGGAGATCCTCACAGAGGACGAATCCACTTTGCACCCCAGAAACCATCAGCTCACATCGCCTGCGTCCAGTGAGCCGCTGGAGTTCTCGTCGGTCAACGACGAGAACAGGAACCATCGCGTTTCAAGATCCTCAGCTAGAGAGCTGCGCAGTTCACAGAATGTGAGAAGCACGAGGTTCCTCTTACTGAAATTCATAAACAGACTAATGGGAGCCATCCGCTTCCACCGAGAGGAAGGGAGGGAGGCTAAAAGCTGATAACAGATTTCATGTCTTCTGCTGCAGAATCACATGAGTAATTCAAACCATTCCAGCCTCAGAGAAAGTTCGCAGACTTCTGCAAGAGAGGAACAACCTGCCAGTCCTGTGGTGGGTACTTTCTGCCTCCACAAAAGGTTGACTAATCCGGTTTCACTTCACCACATGCTAAACTACTGGTGCCTCTGCTACGCCTCAGCTCTCAAAGCTGCTGCTCCGTCTTTCCCTGCTATACAGTTGAACTCAGTGTCTGTCCACATGGGAGGCGTTACTGATCAGTGTTATTTATTTATATTGTTCAATAGTTACTTCCCTCGTCCCCTCAGTTGCCTCCAGGCTGGGAGGAGAAGCGTGACAATAAAGGAAGACGCTACTATGTCAACCACAACACCCGAACCACCACATGGGTGCGACCAGTCGTTCAGGTACAAAGCTTTCTTATTACTGCTCACTTAGCCCATTTTATTTTACTGCAGAATACAAAGCAAGTGGAGATTTACACCCTTAAGTAGAGATGTGCCGATCAGGTTTTTTCCTGCCGA